AATTGCACCCCCTCAGACGGCTCGACAAACTCCAGCATGGTATCAGGCATAAAGAAAATAGCTATCTTCATAACATATCTCAAGTAAAAAGGTGTACAAAGCCATTTGTGGCTTCTGTGATTTTTTTTAAATTTCATCCCCAATTGCACCCCCTCAGACGGCTCGACAAACTCCAGCATGCTATCAGGGATGAAGAAAAGAGTAAACTACATAACATATCCCAAGCAGAAAGGTGTACAAAGCCAGTAGTGGCTTCTATGATTTTTTGTTTAATTTCACCCCCAATTGCACCCCCTCAGACGGCTCGACAAACTCCAGCATGGTATCAGGCATAAAGAAAATAGCTATCTTCATAACATATCGCTTGCAGAAAGGTGTACAAAGCCATTTGTGGCTTCTATGATTTTTTGTTTACTTTGAACCCCAATTGCACCCCCTCAGACGGCCCGACAAACTCCAGCATGGTATCAGGCATAAAGAAAATAGCTATCCCCATAACATATCTCAAGTAAAAAGGTGTACAAAGCCATTTGTGGCTTCTGTGATTTTTTTTTAATTTCATCCCCAATTGCACCCCCTCAGACGGCTCGACAAACTCCAGCATGGTATCAGGGATGAAGAAAAGAGTAAACTACATAACATATCCCAAGCAGAAAGGTGTACAAAGCCATTTGTGGCTTCTATGATTTTTTTTTAAATTTCACCCCCAATTGCACCCCCTGAGACAAAGCAAAAGTTAATTGCGGGTATGGTTGCTGTGTATTGAAACCTCCCCAATTGAAATCTACAAATGAAAAGCCTCTACAGGTAATTTGAACCAAGTTATATGACTATTACGATAGAGTTATATTTTTCTCAGTGTACATTTGTGGATGTGGATAACTTCACACCCGTAAGTCATAATATATATGAATAAAAAATATTAAAATACAAATAAATATAGGTACAGTATACAAAATATATATATACATATCTAAGACATGCACATTAAAAATATACAATTAGAAAAACATTTACCTTAAAATATGGTGGTATTCAGATAAATTATAAAAACATGAATCTACTAAATAGTTTTTAAGTTTTCTTTTAAAAGGTTCATATTTCTTTTCAGATTTAATGAAATCAGGGAGTTGATTAAAAAATTTAATTCCAACAAATTCAGGCGATTTCTCAAATAATGCTGTTGAATGTCTTGGTGTTCTGAATAAATTTGCATTCCTAGTTGAGTATTCATGATAATTTGAATTTTGTAAAAATTGGTGTATGTTGCGTTTAGCATATAGCAACGTTTTATAAATGTAAATACAGGGAAATGTTAATATTTTAAATTTTTTGAAGTTATATTTACAAGTTTGCATTAATTCTAGATTAAAAATAAGCCGGATTATTCTTTTCTGTAAGATAAATACTTTAGATGCATTGACTGCATCACCCCAAAGAATAATGTTGTATGATATATGAGAATATGCTAAAGCATAGTAGACATTAAGCAGTTGCTCTTGGGTAAATATTGATTTTAATTTTAGTATTGCATAGTATGCGCTGTTTAATTTTTTACAAACATTAGATATTTGGCTATCCCAACCCATATTGCTATCAATATGTATGCCCAAAAATGTTGTAACATCTGAGAGCATAATTTCTGCATTATTGACATTTACTTTACAATTCTGGGTAATTTGATTTCTGGAGTAGAACTGAAGGCAAACGGTTTTGTTTGAATTAACAATTAAAGAATTTCTATAACACCATGATGTAAACTCATTAGATAAAACATTTAATTTACTAATTAATTCATCTACTGATTGTGCGTTGGTGGCAATTGTTGTGTCATCTGCATATAAAATTATGTTTTCTGAGTTAATATGATTAGGCATATCATTTATGTAGCATAGAAAAATTAGAGGTCCTAAAATTGATCCCTGAGGCACACCCATATCAACACTTTCTAGTTCAGATTTACAATTTCCGACTTTGACATAGATCTGTCTGTTATTTATATAAGATGACAACCAAGACAAAAAGTTACCTCTAAAACCAAGCCCTTCCAATTTTTGAATAGCGACATCTAAGTTGATTGAATCAAACGCCTTTGACAAATCAAAGAAAAGCGCACCCACAAACAACTTTTGATCGATAGAAGTATGTATGAAATTAAAAAGATCTATTGCTGCACTTTCAGTAGATTTTTCTGGTTGATTCTAATTTTGTTTATACTACTTTTCATCCTGAATAAAACCATAATGCATTGGACTAAAGTTTCGAATATATTAGCAGAAGGTATGCCGTCGGTCCTTAGTTTAGAGATGTTGGTCTTGTTATGTTTGTAATCAATAAATTATTATTTCAGGCCCGTAATGAATGTTTACACATATTAATGATGTTATAATTTTTCGAAACATTAGTAAAGTGTTTTATAGGTGACATGGTTGTACAGGCAGAAAAATAATATAAAAAAATTAGAACAAAAATTCAAGGTCCGAATTTAAAATAATTGACCTATGGTGCTTCCTCATAAACTAAATGTTTTACCAATTTGAAAATATAATTTTAAAGTACTAACCAAACCCAAATGAATTGCAAATAATCCCAAAATATTATGATGTTATTATCTAAGGTTTTATTTAAATTATTATTAAACGGAATTAAAAGCAATTAGCTTAGGAATTACCTAGCAGTACTTGCTCTGACAGTACTTGACATTACCAAGCATTATTCTTTTCTTTTTTTTCTTCCCTAATAACCTTTTCTAAAACACTCAATAATTTTTACTTAAACAATTTATAATAATAATAATAATAATTTTTTCTTTAACTGTTTAAAATTTGTACATTGTTAAATAATATATCTTACTGTATTTTATCTGTAAACATTTAACTTTATACCTCACTAGCTATAAGTGAATACTGTTTTTGGGTTCGTCCTGTTTTATATTCTAACTAAATAAATAAATAAATAAATAAATAAATAAATAAATAAGTAAACAAATAAATAAATAAATAAATTATTCGGAATTACGGAAGTAATGCCACAATTTAGTAATACATGTACTTTTCTTGTGGAGTGAGTAGATAGTAAATTGTTTACTCTTATTAAAAATGAACTCAAATATTAAAAAGTAATGTGATTAATAGCACACTGTATGATGATCATTTTGTTGATAGAGCACAAAAATAAAGGCACACATTCCTTTTTTATATTTTTAGATTTTCTAGTGTGGACAGTGATGAACAAACACATGTGCATGCTAAACATAGGTGCGTTTTTGTTCATTCACCAAATGTGTATGCAGCTTTACACATAGCTAGGTTTTGTTGGTTTTGTCTTGATATATTTAGGCAGTGTAGAATCAAGCTGATGGACAAGGTTAATATTTTTTTTTTATGAATAAATCTGTAATAAAGGGTTAGTAAATTCCCTGTAGGTTTTTTATTTGTGGGATACAATGGCTGGTGCATCTGTCAATTCAATGATAAACACATACTTAGCTATGTTAACTGAATTCACTCTATATACCTATGTATGTATGCATTTGATCTCCAAGCTTTGATGCACACAGCAATAAGTATTGTATTTTCCACACATTGTAATCTTATTTTAAATGACTTAGATATATATCTAACAAAGATCTGTTTTAAATAAAATATTTCAAGTGACACAATTGCTAATCTAAAGGTACCATTTGGGAATGCAAGACCGAGACAGGCAGCAGCATAAGGAGACCGAAATGTGTCTCATACGTCTGAGTTCCATGTAATTTATTGAAGCAGTTGGGACAGTTCAACTGATGCAAGAGATGTGACAACACTTTTAACATGGCAGAGTTTACTGTCTGTCGTCTCGGGTTCCCAAATGGTACTTTTAAACACAATTTGATTATGAGAAAAACAAAAGTTATTCCGGTTCCTATACATTAAATTTGCAAAATTATTATTTCATCCAGAATAATATTTACACATTTAATACCCAAACTAAGAAAGAAATGCTATTTTCCTGTAAATTACTAAAAATAATATATTTTAAATGGATTCAGGTAAAGGGGGGGTCCATTCTGTTTATGAAACATGTTAATACATAAAATTAGCATAAGTAAGGATATTTAGAAGTGTTTACTTAATGACAAACATCAAATATTTATTCTTCTAATAAAGAATTTTGTTAATTCAACCTTTAGAATGAAGGATCTAAAATTTACATAAATTTGCAGTTTCCAAGACAACAAAGTAACATTGACTTTTATTTAATAGGTAAATATTAAGATAAAATATGTCTACCTAATGTTTTGAATGCCATGCACTTTGAAATAAGTAGGTATTATTGATTTAATAATTTTGGTTTTTGACAAAAGGAAACTGTATTCAGCAGAAGATTCTACTTTTTTCATTTAAGGAATAAGAATGATTCAATAGATAACTTATACAGTAGGTAAACATCGAATTAAATATTATCATATCTTAAATTAATCTACCATACATATTAACTAAGTAATTTTAAGACTTAAATTTATTATTTATTTTTTCTATCAATTCTTATTTTACCTAATGTTTTTGTCCATTCAGCCTGTAAACAACTATGAACATATCTAACCTCCCAATAAATTAAACATTTTTGAAAACACAGGTACATTATTGGTCAACATTGTTTAAGAATACCTATATTATATCTAAACTACAAAAAAATATCTTAAACCTGAAAACGGTATACAATTTTTAATACCAAGAATGCCCCCATAAACATATGATATGATTGCTAATTTAATCTTGGACACAAAATAGGTGTATATATTTTATAAGATCCGTTTCACTCTCTGCATGTCACGGAAGTTACTTTTTTACTAATATAAAGAGGTCGTTTAAATAAATTTATAAATAGATCGCTTTGTTTTGTTGCCCATTTATTCCAATGATAAGATCCAATTTTAATAACATCCGTTCTTTTTCGATTCACTTTATAAAAAGAAAAGATCGTCAAGTTTTTCAAGAACTAAAAGGCATACTTACAGCATTCCTGAACATTTCGTACACACAAAAGATCCTATGGTAACATTCACATATGTAGGCCCACGTTGATTACAATCAAAACAGTATTTATTCAATGGTAAGGCACCTAATTCACGTAAAGTTTTTAGATTTTTTTCGTCCTGCTTTCTTCGAGACGATGCCATCGTAATTTTAGCACTGCACTATTCTCACTAAACGTTAACTTCTACCGTTGACTGCTCCTCTTCGACTAGTAAAATGTAAAATGCATAAATATAAATATTTTCACTTCGTCGTGTCTTACTTGACAGATACCTGTTAATGCTGTCAATATTGTCAGCTGTCAGTTCCTGAGTATGAAAAAAACTACTTTTAGAGCTAATCACACTAACGGACAAAAACAGTGTAGCCAACTTTGTAACTTGTGATATCGCACTTTTTATAAAATCTAGTACATTTTTATTAACGTTTATTTTGACCTTGACGTTGACAATTGAAAATAATAATGCCAAACCGCCAAACGCCAAACGTCAAACGTGCGTCAAACTTTTGTGGCTTTTTGTTCTTGTATTGAAAATTGTTTAGAAGAAAATACTATAAATCTAAACAATGTTTATATCAATGGTGTAATTCCTATTTAGTAGTACTTTAATTACTGTTTAAGACGTACATTAACAAAGGAAATATTTCCAAGTCAACCTAACCTCGATTTTTATTTGCCAGGCAGTTCCAAGATGGTTGTTGATAAAAGTCCTTTATCCGGTAATGTTTTAGAACAATTCGTGTTGTTGGCGAAAACTGCAAAAGGAGCAGCATGTACTGAACTAATAAGGCAAGTTTTAGAAGCTCCAGGCGTTTACGTATTCGGAGAACTTTTAGATATGCCGAATATTGTAGAATTAGCGACTAGCGATAGAAAATATTTCAATACCCTAGAATTATTCGCTTTTGGAACTTTCAAGGATTACTTAGCTAATAAGAATGAACTGTTGGAACTGTCTTCGGCCCAGCAAAAGAAGTTACAGCACTTAACTATTGTTACTCTAGCCACCAAATCAAAATGCATCCCTTACAACACTTTGCTTATAGAATTGGATATTAAGAATGTCAGGGATTTGGAAGATCTCATTATAGAAGCTATTTATGCTGATATTATACATGGAAAGTTAGATCAAAAGAATAGTCAACTTGAGGTCGATTATGCTGTTGGTAGGGACATCAGGGCTGAAGATATAAACATTATTGTGAATTGTCTTCAAGACTGGTGTTCATCATGTGAAGGTTAGTATTTAAATGGCTTTAATTTTATACATTTTTAATGAAAATTCTTAATTTAAGGTGTCTTGAGCTGTGTAGAAAATCAAATCCATAGAGCAAATTCAGAAAAGAACAGATGTATACAGCGAAAGGCTGACATAGAGAATGAAATTGTCAACATAAAAAAAACACTTAAAACTCAGCTTCAAGAAAGATCTGATGGAACTGATGAGGTGATGGCTACTGATACCAGAGAATCCTCTTCCTCTGGTGATAAAGGGAAAAAGTCACAAAAAATTAAAGGACTAAAGATTCTTCGTTAACATGAACTTATTTCAAGAGTGATATATGAAAAATTGTCTAGAAGGGATGATTTGTGATATATTTAATCAATTATTAGTGGTTATATAAAAATGAAAATGGCATCAAATGATGTTTTTCCAAAAGCCACTGATGATGTTTTGTATTTAATTAAAAGATTTTCGTATATCAATTTTTGATTTGAGATGTTTTTCAGTTTTTAAAAGGTTTTTTTCAGGCTCTGAATAATGTTTAGTTTTAACAGAATTGTATTGATGTATATAATAAAAGTTTTTCAAATTCATATGTATTTTAAAGTTAAATAATGTATAGGAAAATGTTTCTATCTGAAATTTATTACTAGAACAAAAAGGGGAAAGATATTGGAGGATAAAAACATTGCCAAGTAGTTCAAATTTAAGGGATCCTTAACTGCAGTAGTTCATATGTAGGGTATTTTTAATTGTAGTAAGTCAAATTTTTGAATATTTTTTGCTTTTTATTTATCTTAACTAGTTGTCACAGATCAGTGATGTTATTCTTAAATAATAGTCTGTGTTAGGGTTCCTTCCATAGTATCAGGTCGATTTGTGGACTGTATCTAAGTGATGAATCTTGTAGCTTGTCTTGCTGCTTGATTAAAAGTTCTCGGTAGAATGCAGAAATTAAAGATATTTGCTCTTAATAACTGGATTTATTTTGTCTTCTTAAACTTGAAACTCCATTTAACAACCACATAAATCACTGAACACAAAATATGCTGGTTTAAAAATGTTTTATGAATATATCATTTGTTTTAATGTTAAATTTGTGACTGTTTTTGGTGTGGAGTGTGGATGATGAAATTGATCTCAACTAAAAAAGGTCTTTTCATGTAGGTAAAGTCCACTGTCTTGCGATTGGTTTAAAAAATGGTGTAGTTTATACTAATTCCGCTGTAGAGAGCGTGATATGTTACAGTGAGTGCTTAGCAAATTATTTGTGGGAGTGAGTCTGAGCTTATTTTCAACAAAGTAAGACAATTATATCGCCCAGATATTCAGCTGCTTTCATGCAGACTTGTTGCTGAGCAGATAGTCATTGGAAATAAGTTAAACAATGTTTACCAATGTTGGCTTTAATTTTATTTTGCCAGGGCTGGCTTTAAGTTTATTATTTATGTATGGCTTTTAAGTTTATTATTTATGTAGGCAATTGAAACATAATTTTTAACACGCTTTTATTAGCTTCACCTGTATGTATGTATATTTGTAACTCTCCTTTGGACTAAAAGCAACCCAGACAACACACCAAATCCCAGAGATATCCACAGAATATCAGAAATATTCCGTGGATCTAATATGGATATCCAAATGTCCGTCTATATCCAGAATATAGAAGATATCCTATGGATATCCAGCAAAATATCTAATGGGTATCTTCCAGACAATACAAGAAATCCCAGAGATATCCACAGAATATATTTTGTGGATATATCCAACCAAATGTCCGTCTATATCCCAGGATATTCGGATATTCAGCAAAATATTTTATGGGTATCTTTAGTAGAGGTTCATAAGTAACCAATGATTATTGAATAACGTCAAAAGAAAATAGCAGAGATAAAAAATATTTTCAACACTCTGCCTTTGATTTTGCCCACTAAGGAGAAAGTCATCCTTATTAGGACTCCAGCAAAGAATACCCACCCAAGAAGCGAAACTAAATGGGCGATTCGTGGACAAAAAACTGCCAAGTTTTCTCAGTGTCAAAGAATACCTACCCAAGAAGCGAAACTGAATGAGTTTTCGTATGTACCAAAGCAAGGGAACTTAATACACTGGGAAACGTATAAAAATTAATCAGTTTTTGTCGTTTGGTTCATAAGAATTAAACACATACTAAAGTAACAATGACAGAAAAATCTTAACATGTTCATTATGTTAAATATATTATTTTAATAATGAAATAAGTACTGTAGGAAACAGTCACTACACAATAGCGCAAGTTGATAACGGTCATTCTGCAAATAGGAAATTTTGAGAACAATTATGGAACAGTGGTGCAAGGACCATCACTCTGTCTATCAATCCCAAGAAGACAGAAATAATCCTTTTCACAAGGAAATGATGAAAATGGAATTAAAACCTACAGATCTCCTAAACACAAAACAAAACTTTGCAACAGAGGTGAAGTATCTAGGTAATACCTTTGACAACAAGTTAACATGGAACTCTCAATTAGAAAACAGAGTCAAAAGAGCATACATTACTTATGAACAATGCCACCATACCGTGGGGCGCACCTGGGGGTTCTTTCCTAGAGCCGTCACATGGACTTACATGGCCATCTTACGACCTATGCTAACATACGGTGCAGTTGTCTGATGGGTATCAAAAATCCAAAAATTGACAGCTATCCGCAAAATAGAACAAATTCGAATAACAGTATGTCTCAACATAACAGGAACTATGAAAACCACACCAACCAGAGCCATGGAAGTCGTTCTTAGTCTTACATCAAGGAGACTGCTCTGATGATAATGATACGCCTCTGCACCGTTGGAATAGAATCTGATGTACGATCTGGCGAGGCGAGTGAGGAGTCGTTTTTGGCAAAATGCGCTTGATACGCCCCAACTGCTTCAAGCGAACATGAACCTTATCTCACCGAGTTATATCTTCCATAAGCCATATGAAGTTATAACAAAACAAATAGAAGAGCCGGAAGTGGCAGGTACGATACATATCTACACAGACCGTTCTAAAACAAAACAATGCCCAGGGTGTGGAATATACTCCAATTCCTTAAACCTCAACATTAACTTCGCAATAGTGTCAATGTAGTTCACGGAGCTCACGGAGGTTCTCTTAGCAGCAAAAGAAATCGCAGGTAGGAACATACTCATCCATACAGATAGCAGAAAAGCACTACTTACCCTGAACAGATTACGAATTTACTCAGGGTTAGTACTAGAATGTCACGAAGCTTTGGCAAGGGTATCCATCTAATATGGAGCAAAGGTGACGCCGCAACGAAAGGTAGCCTTATTGCTGATTCACTAGCCAAGATGGCGGCCAACCAAATACTTTTTGGACCTGGCCCTTCTATTGGACTGACAACATCGGTAGTGACAGACCTAAATAAAGAATATTCTCTTGTGAAATTGAAGGAAAGATGGGATGAAACAAGAATCTGCTGAGTTATCAGGGAGATTTTAAGTTATCCTGACAACATTACAACAAACAAATACTTGGACTATGATTAGACAGAATCTGCGTCTTATCACAGGCATTCTGACTAGTCATTGCCAAGTACGGAAGCATCTTCATATCATGGGACTGTCAGAATTCGCACCCTGCAGGGGGTGCAAACAAAAAGATGAAACCATTGAACATATCCTCTACGATTGCCAGTGGCTCTCATTTATTTTCGGCGAGTATTGGCTAACACCGGCCGATATAAGAGAAGCACCTCTTGGCGACGTTGTCAACTTCATTAAATGTGTAGGCTGGCTCATGAGCTAGGAGGTGCCTATCATTTTCTAAAGATACACAATGGGCATAGTGAGGCCTAAGTGCCGTTGGGTAACCCACCCTCTACACGTTACATATCCAGAAGTACTGTAGGTAGCTGTAAATGCATTTCGATTGCATCCTGATAGCAGCGACATGGTTTCTCGAAGTGAGTTTGTCATATCTTTTAATTATTGTTTTGTATTTATTTACTGTTTTAATTTGAATGGTTTGAAAAACAAAAAAAATAACATATTTAAATAAAAGAGTAAGAAATTAAACGATGCATAATACGTAGGCGTAAATTATCATTATAGTTAATACTGATTTAGAAATTAAAACAAAACATTGACAGCCAGATGCAAGAACGTTCAATAAAATTTACGAATAACGCAATGTATTTTTTTTCTTGTAATTTAAATTTTAAAACTATCTCATTTCTAATTCTACTTAACTATACTGCAATTTTCACAAAACGCTAATAATAATATACCAAACGTTGCTCTGGTTGCTCTACATAAATTGACAGCTATATTTGACGTTAAACCACCTCTAAAACACTGAGAAAACTTGGCAGTTTTTTGTCCACGAATCGCCCATTTAGTTTCGCTTCTTGGGTAGGTATTCTTTGTCAGTGTTTTAGAGGTGGTTTAACGTCAAATATAGCTGTCAATTTATGTAGAGCAACATTTGGTATATTATTATTAGCGTCTTGTGAAAATTGCAGCATAGTTAAGTAGTTGTATTTAACTAAGTAGTAATAAGAATGTAGATAGTTTTAAAATTTGAATTACAAAAAAAAAATACATTGCGTTATTCGTAAATTTTATTAAACGTTCTTGCATCTGGCTGTCAATGTTTTTTTTTTAATTTCTAAATCAGTATTACCAGATAATGATAATTTACGCCTACGTATTATGCATCGTTTAATTTCTTAGTCTTTTATTTGAATATGTTATTTTTTTGATTTTCAAACCATTCGAATTAAAACAGTAAATAAACAACAATACAAAACAATAATTAACACATATGACAAACTCACTTCGAGGAATCAAGTCGTATCAAGTGGTATCGCCATCTATACTTAGTAAGCAAAATCAAAAATTACATCTAGTGGATATCCACGATGGTTTATTGCGTTCGCGCCTAGACTTTGATATGTCCATGGATGTCCATCGGATATTGAATACACCTTAAAAAAATTAATTTTAAATATCTGAACGGTACTATTAGCCACAATGGCGAGCACAATAATGGCGTAATTTTTTAATAATTTGCTATATAATTACTATTATTTATGGACATTTGCATGTCTATAAATTACAACTCATGGATATACAATAGATATCCACCATGGACTGGACATTCAGTGGATATTGGGATGTCCAGTAGATATCCAAATAAGGATTTGGTGTGCTGTCTGGGAAGTGGCACTGTTAGTATATTCCACTACCTCAAGTTCGTTCGTTGGCCGAGCGGTCTAAGGCGCGGTCACGTCGATCGCAAGACTCACCGATCGTGGGTTCTAATCCCGTCCACGGCTAAAAAAATAATTTTTTTTACAGCAATTTCAACTTACAAATTTTTTTTAATAATTAATCGAACTAAAAAGAAAAAAATAAATATAGTTTAAAATAACTAAAAAACAAAAACATCGAACTAAAAAGTGAAAAATAAATAGTTTAAAAAAACAAAAAAAAAGCGTCGGGCGCTCGATGTACGAGAAATATGGAAAGCGCCCCGCGCTTTTTTCACAATAATATTAGTATTTTCCATTTATTATT